GATTCAAGGGTTCATCGCTGGCCAACTGGCAACCTAAAGGCCAAAGCCTTTTATCCCCCTGCCCCCTAAATCCATATTATGCATATCCATCTAAGAAAAGGTAGGAAGAACAACAAGCATTAAAGGCACTCAGAATATGACCCCAAACTCACCTAAGTCAAGGGAAGACCTTTGTTTCATCGGGGTTGGGAGAAGCAGCATAAGCAGGACCACACGGGTAGCTTGAGGTGGTTTGTCACGTTACCGGTTATACCATACTAGAGAGAAAAACATCTGGATTCATAAAGCACTGGGTAAGATTAATTTCTACTTGAAACAGCTATTTTGAGTTCAAACCCCAAGCTAAAGGAGCCTTCATATAAACTGAAGAAATTAGTAAAACCCAAAAAACCTGAGATGCTTTGGCACCAACAGGCTTGAAAATCATGTTTTACAGTGGAAGTCAAGGATCTCCTTTATCAAGGGGTACGGTGAAATGTTAAGACTCTTTAAGGAGCTGTTTTTTAAGTATGAGACCACTCTGAGATGAGCTATGGACTTTCAAGAGGATATTGAAAGCCATAGAACCAGCAAGAAGCACAAATTGGATGTGGTGTCCTCAGAGCTCGAGCGCCTGGTCAGGGCTGAAGTCTGTGGAGAAGGCTCCCATGTCCATGCTTACAATCGATGAGGCACCAGGGAATGGGCAGAGTAGCTGCAAGAAATGTTATTTTATTTAAGAAACAAAGAGAGGAGTTAATCTGTGGCAGATGCCCACAGAATTGTCAAAGGAAAAGCCTGTCTTTGGGTAAGTCAGCGAGGATTTCCAAACCGCAAGAGATTGCTCCTGGGATGTGTCATGGTTGCAGGGGACTCAATGGCTTCTCGCTCTCGAAGGGAAAGGATTGGCCAAGGTCTGCCAGTCAAGAGCTGCTGCAACCACAGCTGGGGACACAGCGCATTTTTTGGGGAAAAAAAAGCTGATGTTGGAATTTTCTTTCTAATGGGAGCAGGAGCACTGACCTCCAGGGCAATCTGGAACTTTGAAAGCCAGGCACTTCTCTCCGTGGATTAGGACATCTCTTCTAATTCCTTGGAAAAGGAGACCGTGTCAACACTCTGCAAGCTGTGCGGGCAGTTTTAAGCTCTTCTGCAAATGGCACGCAGAGAAAACACAAAACATCGTGACATCTGTAGCACAGTGTGGGTCAAACGGGCCTTCAGGGCAGCAGGAGAAACCCAAGGAGCAAGGAACCCGTCTTGGGAGAAGCCAGCCCAGATGCACAGGCCAAAATCCACTGGCAATGATGACAGAAAATGCTTCCTCAGCCCCAGAGCGAAGCTGACCGATGGGAGACACAAACACAACGAAGAGAAAACACACAAACCCATCCTGAAAATCTAAATACATCCAGCCGGGCTTTCGGGGGAAGTTTCAGGGATCACGACTTGGGCTTCAAGTGGGTTTCAAAGTTCCACTTCAAGTCTCCAGGAGGCACGAGGCCAAGAAGTGAACAGCAATTCCAGCGGACGGAAATCAAAGCAGAAATGAAAAATGGACACTTCACAAAAGATAGAACAGGTAAGAAATGAGCTGTGTTAACAACACCTGTGGAAGAGGGAGGGAAAAGCCAAACTAAGAGAAAGTTTGCTTTTGTGGAAAATGATTGCTCTGGTGGGAGGTGTCCCCACCCAGGGCAGGGGGTTGGAACTGGATGATCTTTAAGGTCCCTTCCAACCCAAACCATTCTATGATTATTAAATGCAGATCAAACATAGAACGTCAAGGCCAGAGTCCATCAGATACACCAGAAAATGGGTTTGTCGCACAGGTGACATTTTAAATAAAGATTTTTAAAGCTTTTCGCAAGATCAGCCAAGAGAATTGGCACTGACTCTGGTGAAGTGATGAAAAGTGGTTGCCACACGTGCAGATGGAGAGCAACCAGTAAGAAAATGCTTGGAAAAAGGAAAATAACTCAGTATATCTAGATGATGAATGACAGATTGTGGCTGCCCCATCCCTGGAGGGGTTCAAGGCCAGGTTGGATGGAGCTTTGAGCCACCTGGTCTGGTGGGAGGTGTCCCTGCCCAAGGCAGGGGGGTTGGAACTGGATGATCTTTAAGGTCCCTTCCAACTCAAACCATTCTGTGATTTTATGATCTTTAAGGTCCCTTCCAGCCTAAACCATTACACGATTCTATATGTGGCCACCTATTGCTGGGTCTGGATGTGTAAAAGCTCACTGAACCCCTGAGGGTCACAGATGGTAAGGTGGAGATGGAGAAGGTGACCCTGTAACACACCCTGGGTCAACCACCCGCACTCCAACTGCTGAAGGCAGAAAGCTCCAAGCTAATAACAGAAAAATGGGAAACAAGGCATTTAAAATAAACTTGCTGGGCAGATGGCACACAAATATACATTAAATACCTAACTGCAAACAGTTGACATAGTGATTCATGAACTCAACTAGAAAAAAAAAACAATCCCCACTGATTTTGCTACAGGCAGAGGTGGAAAACGAGCACCAGGACAAGAGAAAACCATGGAGGAGGAAGAGGTGGCGACCAGGCGTAATATACATACACGAGAATGTGAAACATTCAGTTCAGCCTAATGCCGCTAATTAGGAAAAGAGATAAAAATAATTGAAGTTGGCCAGCTTGACTATCACGGTAAAATAAAGCAAAGGGCCTCCACCTCCAGAGACACAGGCAATTAAAGCAGAGAGCGACCGTATGCAGGGAAAGGAGACCTTGTGGTAAAACCATGACAGAATAATTAGGAGCAAAGGGATGGAATTCAGTAAAAAAAAAAAAAAAAAAAAAAGAATAATTAAAGCTGGTTATCTGCCAAAATGACCTCGTAGCAAAAAAAACTGTAAACATCAAATTTGGGTAAAGTGCTCAAGGCCAAGTTTCAGCAAACAGCCCGGTATCAGGCAGACGACCCACAACGGCACAGTTCATTCCCCTTATCTCGGTTTCTCAAGAAAAACCACCAGTCAACACAGCTTGTAAAGCTAAACATCATTCTTGCAGAAGAAAACAAGTCAGTAATTGGAAGCCAGGACATTCCAGCTCTATATTATGCCACAAACCATCCGACCAGAAAGTTTTTGAGCGTGAAATTTAGACTCCAGCGTGTAGAGACGTGACCCTACTTGAATCTTTCTTCCACTGCAGGACAGAAAATGGGGCAACCCTTTCTCTAACAACTTCCAAATTCAATTATCAAATAGTATTTTTTAATTTTGCAGGAGGAGAAGAGATTTTTTTTTTTTTTTTTTTTTTGGAGGATTAAGAAGTGGAACGCTTGCCCACAGCGTGCTTAACATCTTTGCACATGCTTTAGAATAAATGGAGATTTATTCTTTCGAGGGGTGTTTTATCTTTGTAATTAAGTTTGGAGATTAGTAGGTGCTCCGTGAAGGTACAAATTAGAATCGTACACACAGATGCCCATTAACTGGGGGGAAAAAAAATGCAAAGCGATGAAGAAGTGTTGGTCCTTATTATCCCTTTTCCTAGCAGGAATATGGTTTACTTCTCAGCTCTGTCTTCTCCCTGATTTACCAAGGGGTACGGACATAAAAGTAGGATCCCATCCCTTATATGGAGAGCAGTCAGCAAGTACCAGCATGTCCCGATGCGAGGGGAAGAGCTATTCCATAAATCTGAAACATGTTCTGGACAACAGCAGAGTTTACACAGACCACAAGAATTACAGGAATTAACCCCCTTTTGTTTACAGCGTTTTAAATATAAAGAGATCTAGTGTGGATCCAGTAGTGTAAGGGGATATCACGGCAGTGACAACTCACAAAGGACCGAAACACAAACCATGCACATTTGGAAATGTTTTGCACGTTCTAAATATAAAAGAAGATCCTCCTTTTATGTTCAAGTTCTCCTAATTAGGAAAAGCTGATTAAACAACTTATCTGGAGAGCCAGTAATATAAACACGAGCCTGTTTTCTGGAGCAGAAGTGTCAAGCTTCTTTCTCTTAGAGGGTTATTTTAATTTTTTATGGCTGTTCATCAACCGAGGTAAACATGTCAGGCAGGAGAGTGACAATTCCCCAAGGATAGAGGGATTTTTTTCAGAGCTCCACACTGAAGCGAGGTCCTTTACACCATCTGAGCACCTTTGCTGGGTATCAGTGTGTTTCCAGCAGTGCTGTTCCTGTCCACTTCTCCCCTTCCCATCCCCTTCTGCTCCTCCCTTCCCTTTCTCTTTGCATTGTTTTCCCCCCCCTTTATAAATATTCCTAAATCTGTAATCCAAACATACAGCCCTAGCTCCCAATTCCTTCCCCCCTGCATCACGCACCAGGGACACGAGCCACAGCCCAAGCAATATTATTGGGGAAAACATCCATCTTTTCCCCCCTGGAATTTCGGATAGAGTCATCCAGGTGTTTTCCACATCTCCAAGCCACCAGCTGAGCCGTCTGCTGGTGCGGGCTGATGTTGCCAAATCTGTTATACACCGAGAACACTGCTATTCACCAACACCACAGCCTGATTATTGTTATTTTTAAACAAAAGTTTAGATCCTGCAGCTCCCACAGATGCCACACAGATCATAAATACCTCAGCCGGGGGCCACAGATCTGACACTTCTGCCTCAGAGCCTTCCACGCTGTTTAAAAATCTCAGCGATGACCTTTTAAGTGTTTCATTTGGAGATAATTCCTTTTCATCACAACCCTCCTCTCTTGACTTCCCCTGAATTAGTTTCAGATACAAACCTCATCCAAGCTCTCACCAAGTTCAGTTTATGCTACTCTATTTCCTCGACAGGACCCTTGCACATAAATAGACATATTTTTTTTTTATATAAACGCGCACACACAAATATATACATTTAATAAAGGTCAGAAAAAGAGAGCTGGATCCTCTACAAACCAAGCCTAATGTGAGGTCAAAACCTTCACATGTCTGAAAACACTTGGGCCCTAAAAAAACCCCAAAAGGCAGTTACTTACCTGCGAGAAGAATGTGACTGATGTCATTTGTGTGAAACCACAAATATTTATTTTTAATGAAAAAATACTTAAAGTGTGCCACAGTGTCCATATATTCATTTGAATAGTAGTACAAAGATATGTATTTCTGAGAAAAAGTCTTAACACTGTAGAAAATAAATGTGGTTCTTAAATTATGTCAAAAGAAACCAGTAAAAAAGTAATGTTTTATACACTGGAATAAAACGAAACAATTAGAGATAATAATAAATTATAATTACAGTATTTCAAATATTTGCTTCATGCTTTTTTTCAGCATTAGTTTCTAAATGTGTCAGGTATAATATGCCCTCAGGAGCTGGCCGTCAGAATGGTCTTCCAATGGTTCTGTGGATAATAGGATGTGGAGCTGAATAAAGTCCTAGAAAAAATGACACCACCGTTTGTTATTGACTGATACAGAAAACATCAGAACATGGCAGTTTTAGGTTTGTATCTAACATATATTTTGGTTAATGGAAATTAATTTAGCTTTTTTTTTCTTTTTTTTTTTTAAATCAACTAATCTTTTATACTTTAACGAACTAAACAGCAATTATGGTCATTAACAAGTATGTCACCCAAGCACACTGCACAACCGTGCTTACGGGATGCTACACGTTGTATTGGCTTTTATACAGTCAAGAGTTAACATCAATTTGGAATCATTTCAGGTCTAATTAAGCACTGCAAAATGTCGAAAACTGTAAAGTGCTTTCAAATACAAATCATTTTTGCTCTTTAGAAATAGGAAAAAAAACCCAAACATGCACTTAAACCTGAAACCTCCATGCCATAAATACCGCAGCTCAGCAGTACAACGTCAGTTTTGTGCCATTTTGTTTTAAAATTTCCTTTCCCATCCCGCCCACCCCCAGTCCAAAATTCAAATAGCGTCTAAGTTGGATTTGTCGGGATCTTCTTGGTCGTGTTTGTACATGAAGGTTAGAAGGAAAAGAGCAATATCCAGAGATGACCAATAGGCAGTGTGCGACGTGACTGCGGACCAGTATCTGCTCTCCACCAGACCTTCCCTGAGCTCAAAATCGATCCTGTGCTCCAGTTCCACTGGAAATTGAACAAGAGACAAAAATATCGTTAGAATTATTTATCAGTAGAAGAAAAAAACCCCACCAGCACGTTTTTCCATCGGTTTTGGGTTCCGCTTCTACTTGCTGTCTATAAAACACACACAGTATCTCTGTGTTTCCATTAATCACATTACACTCACCTAAGTCGACTGTGATTTTTAATAATATATACATACATTTTTATGCACATGCACTTAACATTTGCAAACAAACATGACCTAAGAGTAGTGCTTAGTTCAGGGGGCAAAAAACCAAACTAAACCTAAAGTTTGGAAAAAGATGGTATTTTATAAAGCAGCTGTTTTCCTTATAGTAACTATAAATACATTTATTTATGCTCCTTATGATAACTACGCAGAAGCATCCGGCAAACTTTGAGGCCCCAGTAGGAAACACCAACTTTCAGGAGGTGGATGCTCGGAACTTTCAGAAATAAATGGACATCTTTAGGGCTTATAACAAGGAGACTACACCCAATCTCACAAGCCCTTTCTGAAAACCAGCCGTCCCCCTGCACAGCACTCCCCCTTTCAATTTCCAGATTATTCCAACTCTATTTCAGCAGTTCTCCTTTCAGTTCCACAGGGTGGGGGGGGGTTGATTAATACCACATTCAAAGCAATTTTCGCCGCGTGTTTAACTGGGCCAATGGCTACCCCATTGTTAAGGCACTTTAGCGGTTAGAGCATCTCTACGAGGAGCAATAGAATAAAAAGGGACAAAGCTAAAAGCCTGCTCGGCTTTTAAGCCAAAACCCCATATTGAGTAAAAAATGCAGCCATTTATCAAAGCCAGTTTCAAGGAATTTTAATTCTTGGCTCCAGGAGCGGGTGAAGGGAGCATCGCACGAGCGCTGCCTCCACAGCTCTCGGGGAACGACACGTCCTTCCCCCAGGAGCAAACCGAGGAGAGGGAGTCCCAGCCTTCCCATACCAGGAGACAACCACAGTCATTTCCATGAAAACACATGTATTCCAAAAACCCTGGTGCCCCTGCAGGAAGGGACGCCCTGGATGGCTCTAGGACAGGCCGTTACAGAAGCTTGGGCGGCAGCCAAACCCCACCACAAGCCCAGCAAATACTCTGGCCGTGGATTGCATCATTCGGGCACACAGGCTGAGAGAGCTGGGGGGGGCTCAGCCTGGAGAAGAGAAGGCTCCAGGGAGCCCTTGAAGCCCCTTCCAGTCCCTCAAGGGGCTCCAGGAGAGATGGGGAGGGCCTCTGGATCAGGGAGGGGAGCCATAGGATGAGGGGGAAGGGTTTTGAACTGAAAGAGGGGAGATTTAGATGAGATATGAGGAAGAAATTCTTTATGCTGAGAATGGTGATTCCCTGGCCCAGGTTGCCCAGAGAAGCTGTGGCTGCCCCATCCCTGGAGGGGTTCAAGGCCAGGTTGGAGGGGGCTTGGAGCAACCTGGTCTGGTGGGAGGTGTCCCTGCCCAGGGCAGGGGGTTGGAACGAGATCATCTTTAAGGTCCCTTCCAACCCAAACCATTCTATGACCCTACGATTCAGCTCACAGCCCCACTGGCCACCACTCCATGTCTTCCCTCTACAGAGCAGGGACAGGCTTTCAGCAGAGAGGGATGTGAGAACCATGCAGAAGGCCCTTGATGTGCCCACCCCTCCCCCAGAAGGACCTCATCAGAGCATCCACGATCACAGAATCATAGAATTGTCTAGGTTGGAAGGGACCTTTAAGATCATCTAGTCCAACGATACTGTCAACCACTCCATTTTCCTCGAGTTTAAAACAAAGTCTCTGCACCACTCAATTTTCCTCGAGTTTAAAACAAAGTCTCTGCCCTCACACACTGACTCAGACAGGTTATCTGCTGAAATTAGCAGTGATGAACAGACAGCAACGTATCATGTGAACGCTATCACAAGATACAACATACTTGTGACTGCTTACATTGCAAAAAAAAAAAATCCCCAGACCAACCCTGCACTGCAATAGTGCCAATGAGAAGTTTGGAAATATCATCAAGCATGAATTTCTGTAAAGGAAGTACCTATATTTTTCCAGAAAAACAGCTGCTGAAATTTCACTTTCTGTTCTGGACGGTTCAGATCAGGACAAGGGCAGCTTCCTTTCCAGTCATACATACCTTTAACTCCAGATTGCTCCAGGATTGCAAAATGCCCAGGGAAATTTAAATAAATATTATGATAAATTTAAATATTTTATGATAACTGGTGAGTGGGATTCTCTGCAGTAATTACATTGCTTTTCCTAGTGGGAGTCTAGGAACTAGCAACAAGCGACGGGACAAGAGGAAACAGCTTCAAGTTGCACCAGGGGAGGTTTAGGATGGGTATTGGGAAAAATTTCTTCACTGAAAGGGTTGTCAAGCCTTGGAATGGGCTGCCCAGGGCAGGGGTGGAGTCACCATCCCTGGAGGGATTTAAAAGCCGGGCAGACGTGGTGCTGAGGGACATGGGTTAGTGGTGGGTTTTGTCAGTGTTGGGTTGGTGGTTGGACTTGATGATCTGACAGGTGCATTCCAAGCCAGACAATTCTATGACTCTATTCTATGAATTACTGATATGCAGATCTCATTAGCCAAAACTCACATATGAACACGTATGTGTCAGTGGTGTATATATATGTACAAATACATAGAATCATAGAATCGTCTAGGTTGGAAGAGACCCTTGGGATCATCGAGTCCAACCATCTACCCTACTCTACAAAGTCCTCCCCTACACTATATCCCTTAGCACTGCATCTAAACGTCCCTTAAACACATCCAGGGATGGTGACTCCACCCCCTCCCTGGGCAGCCTGTTCCAATGCCCGACCACTCTTTCGGTGAAAAATTCTTTCCTAATGTTCAATCTAAACCTACCCTGTTGGAGCTTGAAGCCATTCCCTCTCGATAAACCTCTTTTAAAAGACAAAAAAGGATCAAAGGGAGAACAAAGAGTCAGTCCTTGGACAGTCTAAAGAGATTCAAAAAGCAGGAAGGGATTCAACTTTTATCACGTTAGAGCAAACCAACAAAATTAAATAGGGGCATATGTTGTTAGGGCATTTCCAGCCTCCCACAACATATGGCTGGAGCCCACCAAAGGTCTTCTTCCCATGGGGTGTGCACGGTGGACTCCTCACTGACCTATGGGTTCCAGAAAGCCCGAGCTGCTGTGCGAGAGCGGCGGCGTCCCAACAGTCGTGGCCTTCTTCTCCTCCCCCTCGGCTCCCTCTTTTCCTGGCTCGGGGGTGGTCGTACTCGATCGACCGAATCTGGAGAAAAGCATCCCACCAAGGCCCTTCCCGATACTCGCAGCTCCTGCGTCGGGCACGGAAAGGGGAACAAAAAAATAAAAATAAAAATAAAACCCAAAACACGCTCAAGGGCAGCTAAATCAAACCGCAAATTAAAAGTCACTGCGGCACCCATCAATTAGAGTCGAGCGACAGATAAAGGAAAACACTATTCATGCTTTTCGAGGGTGGGAACGGCTTATCTGACTTAAGTGTTTATCCTGAGACCAATCTGGCGTACAAGCAAAAGCTATAATTTGGAAACTGTAGTTAGAGGGAAAAAAAAAATAATAAAAATACATGAGAACACTTCCGCAGCAAGAAACCTGGTACTTTTAAGGATATGTTGTAATTCCCCTTTCATAAAAAAAATCTAAGACTAAGACAAAAATGCTTTATAACAATATATAAATAAATATAGAAATGCTTTATAAGTGTTCAAGGCCAGGCTTTGAACAAGCTGGTCTGGTGGGAGGTGTCTCTGCCCAGGGCAAGGAGTTGGAGCTGGATGCTCCTTAATTAAGGCCCTTCCAACCCAAACCATTCTATAACATTGTTAGTACCTTCTGCATTTAAGAATCCCATCGTGACATTTAAGACACTCATCCTGTTAAGGGTCCTTATGCTGGCATCACCCTTACAGACCTTTAGAAATGCCCTATCATCCTTTAAAAGGACTATTTTGGTTGCTCAGGAAGAGGGGTGTGAAAGTTAAGAACAGACCTGTCCTGTTTTCTCCCGACTTTGCTGCCACCTTATGGACAAGATACTAAAGTTACTACAGAAACACAGCAAAAAGCAACCCTGCTTTGAAATACCGACTATTTCCACTTAAGGACAAAACTGCTTTTATATACTTTACTTATTTGATGGGGAAGATTCCTGGCACTAGGTCACATTAGCCTTCTTCCAAATCCCACATCGAGAGCTAAAGAAAAGCCTTGAGTCAACAAAAACTGCAAGTGTACGCTCAAATATAAGCTCCAGTCAAAGTGAATTTAAGCTCACTTAAACCAGGGCGTATTTTAAATCAGAAAGCCAGAAGGGGACAGGCTTCATACTAAACCAGCCTGAATTTCCTATTGTAAAACCACAACTCAAATGGAACTGTAATGGTTTACGTAGAGTGATTTTTCCTCCTATTTGCCAACGCCAGAAAATGCAGTCACAAAACGAGCTTTAAATTATTTTTTTTCCCATGAAGTACAGTGGAAACTATTAAATCACCAGGATGTTACTTCAATAACGCAAACAAGAAGGAGGCAACAATGGCATAAACTCCCCGACCCACATCCTCTCCCCACAAGCCTTGACTCCCGTGTACGTAAACTGTCTTTTCTTCAAAGTAAATGTTGGTTGGGATTAAAATAAGCCGTACGTCTACACGGAACAAACCAAAGCAGCCAGGAATAGCTTGCTTACGGCTGCGCCTCAAACAGTGACGCTCTACCAGAAGGTTCTACGTAAAAAAACATAGTAATAATCATAAAAAAGAGGACATAAAGAACAATCACCTAATATACTCGCTTTGCCGATGTTTGTTATAGACTCCCCGTAGTGGCGTCGAACCATGACGGGGGAAGTAGTTGGGCTGGGTACAGTCGAAATGCTTTCGCCATCCGTAACTGAGGTAGGTTCTTTTGTCGGGTTGAGAAAACTTGGCTTCATGTGCTCGTAAGGTAGAGGGTTTGCAGTGTTGTACCAGTGGATCTGGACAGGCGAAATGTTGCTGTAGTGCTTCAGAATTAAAGGTTCTAATCTATAGGCCTGCAAGGGTGAATCGGAAAAGAAAGTCCTGGCCATCAAGATTGAAAAATCACATTCCCATGCCATATAGAGTGTTCCCCAACCTCAAATCCAAAATATCTGTAATGAGTCGAGCCTAGAAAGTGACAGAATAAGAGTGACATATCAGTTGATAACTACTGTTGTGCTTTCTCTATCCTTTCATAAGAATCTATCCTGGCAATGCCAATGTCTGGGGAGAGAAAAATGGTACATCCTTGCAGGTTTGCATGGCAGAAACCCAACTGAGAGAAGACGTGGCTCCTGCGTCGGGCACGGAAAGGGGAACAAAAAAATAAAAATAAAAATAAAACCCAAAACACGCTCAAGGGCAGCTAAATCAAACCGCAAATTAAAAGTCACTGCGGCACCCATCAATTAGAGTCGAGCGACAGATAAAGGAAAACACTATTCATGCTTTTCGAGGGTGGGAACGGCTTATCTGACTTAAGTGTTTATCCTGAGACCAATCTGGCGTACAAGCAAAAGCTATAATTTGGAAACTGTAGTTAGAGGGAAAAAAAAAATAATAAAAATACATGAGAACACTTCCGCAGCAAGAAACCTGGTACTTTTAAGGATATGTTGTAATTCCCCTTTCATAAAAAAAAATCTAAGACTAAGACAAAAATGCTTTATAACAATATATAAATAAATATAGAAATGCTTTATAAGTGTTCAAGGCCAGGCTTTGAACAAGCTGGTCTGGTGGGAGGTGTCTCTGCCCAGGGCAAGGAGTTGGAGCTGGATGCTCCTTAATTAAGGCCCTTCCAACCCAAACCATTCTATAACATTGTTAGTACCTTCTGCATTTAAGAATCCCATCGTGACATTTAAGACACTCATCCTGTTAAGGGTCCTTATGCTGGCATCACCCTTACAGACCTTTAGAAATGCCCTATCATCCTTTAAAAGGACTATTTTGGTTGCTCAGGAAGAGGGGTGTGAAAGTTAAGAACAGACCTGTCCTGTTTTCTCCCGACTTTGCTGCCACCTTATGGACAAGATACTAAAGTTACTACAGAAACACAGCAAAAAGCAACCCTGCTTTGAAATACCGACTATTTCCACTTAAGGACAAAACTGCTTTTATATACTTTACTTATTTGATGGGGAAGATTCCTGGCACTAGGTCACATTAGCCTTCTTCCAAATCCCACATCGAGAGCTAAAGAAAAGCCTTGAGTCAACAAAAACTGCAAGTGTACGCTCAAATATAAGCTCCAGTCAAAGTGAATTTAAGCTCACTTAAACCAGGGCGTATTTTAAATCAGAAAGCCAGAAGGGGACAGGCTTCATACTAAACCAGCCTGAATTTCCTATTGTAAAACCACAACTCAAATGGAACTGTAATGGTTTACGTAGAGTGATTTTTCCTCCTATTTGCCAACGCCAGAAAATGCAGTCACAAAACGAGCTTTAAATTATTTTTTTTCCCATGAAGTACAGTGGAAACTATTAAATCACCAGGATGTTACTTCAATAACGCAAACAAGAAGGAGGCAACAATGGCATAAACTCCCCGACCCACATCCTCTCCCCACAAGCCTTGACTCCCGTGTACGTAAACTGTCTTTTCTTCAAAGTAAATGTTGGTTGGGATTAAAATAAGCCGTACGTCTACACGGAACAAACCAAAGCAGCCAGGAATAGCTTGCTTACGGCTGCGCCTCAAACAGTGACGCTCTACCAGAAGGTTCTACGTAAAAAAACATAGTAATAATCATAAAAAAGAGGACATAAAGAACAATCACCTAATATACTCGCTTTGCCGATGTTTGTTATAGACTCCCCGTAGTGGCGTCGAACCATGACGGGGGAAGTAGTTGGGCTGGGTACAGTCGAAATGCTTTCGCCATCCGTAACTGAGGTAGGTTCTTTTGTCGGGTTGAGAAAACTTGGCTTCATGTGCTCGTAAGGTAGAGGGTTTGCAGTGTTGTACCAGTGGATCTGGACAGGCGAAATGTTGCTGTAGTGCTTCAGAATTAAAGGTTCTAATCTATAGGCCTGCAAGGGTGAATCGGAAAAGAAAGTCCTGGCCATCAAGATTGAAAAATCACATTCCCATGCCATATAGAGTGTTCCCCAACCTCAAATCCAAAATATCTGTAATGAGTCGAGCCTAGAAAGTGACAGAATAAGAGTGACATAGAAAAGAAAGTCCTGGGCGTCAAGATTGAAAAAATCACATTGCCATCCCACATAGAATCCTCCCCAACCTCAAATGCAAAATATCTGTAATGAGTGAAGCCTAGAAAGTGACAGAATAAGAGTGACATATCAGTTGATAACTACTGTTGTGCTTTCTCTATCCTTTCATAAGAATCTATCCTGGCAATGCCAATGTCTGGGGAGAGAAAAATGGTACATCCTTGCAGGTTTGCATGGCAGAAACCCAACTGAGAGAAGACGTGGAGAAGGTCGTCTTCTCAGTCTGAAGAAGAGAAGGCTCCGGGGAGACCTTATAGCAGCCTTCCAATACCTAAAGGGGCTCCAGGAGAGATGGGGAGGGACTCTGGATCAGGGAGGGGAGCCATAGGACAAGGGGGAAGGGTTTGACACTGAAAGAGGGGAGATTGAGATGAGATCTTGGGAAGAAATTCTTGATTGTGAGGGTGGTGAGAGCCTGGCCCAGGTTGCCCAGAGAAGCTGTGGCTGCCCCATCCCTGGAGGGGTTCAAGGCCAGGTTGGAGGGGGCTTGGAGCAACCTGGTCTGGTGGGAGGTGTCCCTGCCCAGGGCAGGGGGTGGAACTGGATGATCTCTAAGGTCCCTTCCAACTGAAACCACTCCATGACTCTGTGATTTACACACGTTGCCATGAACACACAAGTTACTCTTAACAGTCCATGACTCTGTGATTTACACATGTTGCCATGAACACACAAGTTACTCTTAACAGATGTTTGTTGTTACCCACTGACAGAGCAAATTTTATCTACAGTTAAATGGATTCTGCAGAACACAACAGAGAGGGAGGAACTAGCTACATAAGCATTTTGTTTGATGACTTATCATCGATCCCTGTACACACCATGAATTGGCATGCTTATTAAAAAATAATCATCCTCTATCGATTCTTTATATTTCTTTGTGGACTTAGATATAGGAAAGCATTCTTGGATGGAAGGAGATGGCATAGCTGTGCCAATACCACCCTCCCAAGCACTCTCCCACCCATGAACCTGTTACTCAGGACCCTTGGGGGGAAAAATACTGTATTTATTATTCTATAGTATCTTGTAAACTGCTTGTGAAGCCTTTTTTAACAGCTGTAGGGTCTTCAGACAGGTGGTGTTTAATGGAAGTAAATTAAACACAGGTTGGAACTTAACTGAGAATTATTATTTCTTACGTCTTTGCAAAAGTAAAAAAAAAAGCTTACGCTTATAAATATGAAATGAGAGGCAAAGTATACGGTATTTCAGGCAATTTTTTGTAGGAACTGTCATTCTACAGTTACAAGGCCCAAGACATAGTGCAGTAACCATTAACAAACAGCCCTGTGCTGGAACACACTTGTGTTGATTCACACGCTTTGACGATCACACATTACCACGCAGCTGAGGCTTAAAAGCAGAGAAGGTAAAAGCTTGCAGTTGCAATTAAAACTCACCACTGGATCCGTCGGATGAAAAATATTTAGTAAGCGGTTACAGATTGTTCTGGGCAGAATATGGTCTTGACTACCGCTGTTTCCCGGACGGATGCCACGCAACGCCAAAAACACCGCTAATGGAGATCCCATACAGAAGAAATTCTCAACCTAAGGAGAGAGATTTCACCCACTTTAGTAAAGATAGACATAATGCTTTCTAACAGGGCTGGATTTGATTTCTCTCTTTCAACCGACTTATCATTTTCAACTGAGGGACTCTATAGTAAGTTCAAAATGGGGAAGACCAGTATAACATACATACGATAACATGAAGGTTAAGTTGCCCATTTCCCTTTGCTCTAGAGAAGAAAGTGGTGCTACATAGTTGGAAAACAGAAAAACAAGTCGAATATTTGAACTGAAAGAGGTCTGCCAACACTGGAAAGGCTGGAGCAAGAAGAATTTGGAAGCCACTAAGAAAATGTGATGGGTTTCACAAGGCTGAAGTCCAATTTCTCATGAAACTTCTCAAAACTCACCACACCTCCTAAACCTTACCCTAACCAAGTATTCCATGATTTGTTTTGCTACACACACCCACCGAGGAAGCAAAAAGATGTGGTTTAGTGATCAAACGTCAAACTCTGTAGCCAAAAATACTTTTGAGAGTTCAAAATTACTTTTTAAACCCTTGTTTTCTTACACGAAAAATTCATGTTACCATTATTGGACCTTCACTGCATCTTTCCCAATAGTAGTGCCCAGTTTGCAGAGCACTACAACTGGGCAACTCCTAACGTTCTGCTGCTGCTTAACCAGCAATAGGAAATCACTGCATTCTTGCTGAGGGCACGTGGAGAACCCTTGGTTCCCCATGTGCCTGCATGGTATGTCAGCTCATGGAGCGAGGGTGGAGAAATAATGGTCTGTTTCATCTACCAGATGCCAGCACCACACAGAACATTCCTCCTCCTCCTCCTCTGACTTGGCACCGGGACCCCACCTCTTCCTTCCAAAAGAATACGCGGGTCCCAGTTCAAAGGAAAAAAAAATATATATAATAATCTAGGTCTTCAGGAGAGCTATTCGATGTTATACGTTGCAAAGCCCTCCTCTGTCATCTACATTGTCACTCCAGTCTGGTGCCAAGCTGCTCTCCTTTCTTATACTCAAGCTTTACACAGACCCTGACATTTTCACAGTTTGGACAAAAAACCTTCTCATCTTCCAGTACAATAGAAACAGATATTCACAGTGCAGCTCTTTAAACTGAATAAATAACCTTTAACCCTGTCTATCTGATATTCCCATCTCGAGCATCCGAAGCACACAATTACGCTCTTTCTGCTTCAGAAAGAAATCAGAAAGTGACTGCCAGCAGATGCCTAAAAGATATTTTCATGGATTCACCTTAGGCCACTCTACAGCAGGCAAAATCTCTACAGGTAAATAGTTTCAGCGGTTACATGGCTTTTGTCCCATCGTTTCTATTGATAAACACAGGATTAACAGCACCCACAGAGAGATGCTCTCTTCTCAGAGGGCACTCTTCTTTGCTATGTGTTTTGTAATACACACAAGTATTTCAACACCATCTTCCAGCTCTGGAAATGCTTACAAAGACAAAGAAACAACTCGGTGGGTACCTTAATGGGTGGCACCAGACCAATACTGAAGCAGTGAGCACTAAAAATCACAAGCAAGTCTTCCAGAAATAAAGTCCTTTAAATTGCAGCCATTAGACTCTCCGCGCTGATGCGACGCGGGTGAAGAGAAGGCTGTCGTGCCATGAAAACCACTGGGAGGAGAGGACTAAAATCTTTCTAGAAAGCTTTTATTAATTCTGGTGTTTCTCCTAGAAGCAGGAGTGGGGCACTTCACATATCCTCCTGTAAAGGTTTAATAACACGACCTTTCAGGATAGCACTTTCCTCCTGGGTATGATTCATAAGCAGAAGACTTAATGAATTTATTTGTACTTTAAGCAGGAGCTGAGCCAAACAGTCATCCATTCACCTCAAGACTGCAGCTTTTTAAAAATAATAATAATAATGATAAAAAAAGCTGGCTGAGCCAACAGAATTGATGCAGCGCAGCCCTGCTGTGCGTAGGTAAGTGTGGGGGACAAGAAGACACAGAAAGTGATTACAATTTATGTTCCTGTGCTGCCTTTCAGCCTGGAAGATCCCAAACATCCTCCTAGAGCAAGGAATGTTCTGCATCCTTAGCAAACACATGGAATAGGGACTTACACCAGTATCACACGGGGAATTTAACTGGGTGGTTGTGTGTTAAACACACACAGCACATTTCTGCCTTCAGCTTAAAGGCTTCCCCCTCTCAGATAAGGCTGCACGTCAGCATCCCATTAAGCTCTTGTAGTTCTCGTGCATGTGGTTAAATCAATAGTATCTTATAAATAATTTGTGATAGTTATCCACATGGACATCACTGTCAGATGATGCTACAGAGAAACCACAAGCTCAAGTACAAGCTGCAGCTTTTTCCAGAAGAGTTTCTGTAGCCCTGGGCGAATGAGAAGTGCTAAGGGATCCTGAAGCTCTTTGGACCAGCACGTTGTCAATTCTAGATTTAAATGGATGTCCTTTTCAGTACTAGGGAGCAGCTGTGGTACATCCTGCCCTCCTCTTCCCCACTGTGACTCAAACTCATCCTACAAGATGCTTATTTTCATGTACCACAGAGTCACGAAGAGGTAGATATTACAGAATCACAGAATCTTAGTGGTTGGAAGGGACCTCCGACTCCTCACCAGCTTGGTGGCTCCCCTCTGGACACGCTCCAGCACTTCACATTGCACCATTCCCTGTGTTTTCATGTTCTTCAGCCCCTTTAGCCTTTAACTCCAATTCCTCTTACATAGCTGACAGGGAGAGGGTTGTGCCTCCAAGCTTTTAATTTACTATGGAAGGGTTGGCTTTGCTTTTAACCCACATAGCATAAGTGAATAAATTGTTAAATTAATAGGAGCTATCTGGAAAAGTAGAGGAAGAAAGACAAAGACACCTCACCCTCCAGTTCCCGTTCTGGTGGCTCATCCAATATATTATTAGTGTACAAGACACGCCATATCTTCAAGTTTGGTTGTGGTTTCTTCCTCCCAAAAGGGTCAATCACACAGATCATTTCCTCTGCTGTATTTATTCTTGCACTTTGCGTCCTGGTTTGAAGTAAAACCAGACCAATTTTGTGTTCTGTAATTTTACATTTTAGCTAGGCCTCCTCTAACTCTCTGAAATTAATGGCACATTGTGGAGAAAACTGCTCATTCTCAGAGTGATAAGACCGATGGTTGTGCTAAATGCCAAGGAATGGTGTGCAGAGAGGCCCTGGCTTATACTCATCGCTAAAACAGCCAATTTTCGTTATTTGCCCCTTAGAGGGTCGGAAACAGAAAACCGTAGAGGGGTCACATCTGTGGGGAGGAATGGACAGGAGAGGTGACCCAAACCTGACCAACTGGGGTATTCCATCCCATCTGCCCCATGCTCAGTATAAAAACTGAGGGATCAAAGGGTCAATGCTCTTCCAGCGATGGCCGACGTCCATGTCTGTTCATCTGCCTTTGATCCTGATCCGTGTGTTCCTGACTCCAGAGCTGGAACCCAGTTCCCATCTGTTGCTGGGTCCAGTCTGGGACTTCCCCAGTGCCTGCTGGTGATGGGACTGTCACCTTGGGATCTTGATCTGGTTCTGTGTATATTGTATCTATTTCATTATTTTCTTCTCTCTTTTTTTGTTTTTTAATATTAATTCTTCATTAAAGTAGTTTAGTTCATTCTAAACTTTTGAATCTCCTCTCCTCTTCTGGTGGGGGGGGAAGGGCCATCTGTCAGTCCAGTTGCAGTGGTTTCGTGGTGATTTTGGCTGAAACCACGACACTTTGTCTTGCTAAAAGCTACCTTTGTGCTTGCTCAACATCACACAAGCTTAACTCTACAACCTGGTCTGGTGGGAGGTGTCCCTGCCCAGGGCAGGGGGTTGGAACTGGATGATCTTTAAGGTCCCTTCCAACTCAAACATTCTATGATTCTATAATGCAGGACGAGTGACTCTGTCTCACCCCAGGAAGCTTTAATTTGTTTCAGTCCATAAGAGAGGCAACACATCAACAGTGGCCAATCTTTTTCATTCCAGCTGTACATCCCATTTTGTGGTGTAATGCAGCCAAAGGAGATCAGGGACTGAAGACTCCAGTCTCCCACATTGCACAGACCAAATTAATTAGCGGATCAAGCATTTATGGTGAATAGCAACTCATGATCAAACCAGAGCTCTGGTCTGCTGTGAAGAGCCAAGATGCAGGCAGTTGGTACCTACAAAGCCGTTAGTTCTCGTTCAACAAGCTGGAAATCCTGCCTTGGCAGAAGCACTTTGCCATCACGTTCATGGAAAGCCTCTCTCTCTCTCTCTGGAGCTTGGTACTCAAGCAATGGGAGTCACTAGTTTAAAGCTTCGCAGAAACACAACATTTTCCTTTCATTACGGCTAAGAAAAAGGATGTGCTGCAATGGAAAATCACCTAGCAGTAATTTGAATTGATACAGCCCCTCTTTTCTTCCCCCTTTCTTTCCCCCTCCATTCCTGCTCCCTCTAAAAAACTATCTGCTCAAAAAAATCTTCAGTTTACCTAGCAGTAATTTGGATTGATACAGCTCCTCTTTTCTTCCCCCTTTCTTTTCCCCTCCTTTCCTGCTCCCTCTAAAAACTATCTGCTCAAAAAAATCTTCAGTTTAAACACAACTGAGTGAAGAATAATCTTTCACAGAGGTGGAGGAGTATCAGCCAGACTCCAGCTTCCTTGATGGTAGAGATAATAGTGCGATACAAGCTTTTAAGCAGTGATGAAAAGGAGAAGGCTATGACAAATTGAATTATGGTTAGTTTCCTCTTTTTTATGGCTCAAGATTGACCTTGGCTTCTAGAAGTCCTTCTGAACTCAGAAGGAAAAAAAAAAAAAGGGCAAGTTAAGAAACAATAATCTATTTTGTTCCCATCTATCATGTCACATTTTTATGGTTTAATATTTCAGGATATGGTCGAGCAACTAGAAAGTGTTGCACGTCCCAACAAAAGTGTTGCTAGAAAATGCCTTTTCCTAACAACAAGAAATTCTGGCAATTTGTACAGCTGATTAGCAAGCAATCTACTTCATGAGACTAAGAGTAAGTCATGCTAAATGTCAGACCAGAATAATTTGGAAGGAAAATCCACCGCTGGAGGAAATTCAAATCAGATTTGCTCAGAGATGTGACATGGTAGGAGTAGTCCCCAAGGAAAATGGATTAGTCAGCAAAGTAGAAGTGAAATTGTTTAAGATATGCGATTAATGTAATTTCACAAACGGCTTTTACCTTCCCACACAGTTGTACGTGTGTGTGTAATATATTTACATATAAACATATATATTTGTAATGCCTAGTAATCTATGAATACAGTAAAATGTTGACGCCAAACGGCTTTTACCTTCCCACACGGTTGTACGTGTGTGTGTTTTTGTAATGCATAGTAATCTATGAATACAGTAAAATGTTGACAAACATGTACACACACTTCATACATTAAGATTATTCTACCAACATCACATCTAGGGAAATGGGGGGAAAAATAAGTAGAATAACTCATATTGCAGATGTATTTTTACAGCAAGTAGTAACATCGTGTCTAGGGAAATGGGGGGAAAAAAAAAAATTAAGTAGAATAACCCATATTGCAGATGTATTTTTACAGCAAGTAGAATATTCAGTACAATCCTCTCGAACATACATACCTTAAATTTTAAGACAGGTGGTTTTGATATGGTGGATGCCTTTAACCCATGTAACCTCTCTTCTATCTCTCTCAACCTAGAAAATAGAGATCTTTCTGAGATCCAATAAAAAACGTAGCCTTAACCTCTCTGATCCAAACAGGCATTCCTGTGGGGTCCAAAAGTTTTGGCTGCTGGGAAGAGAGAGTGATGGTGTCAGTATTTCTCGGAGGTGTTCCAGGTGATTAAGCATCAGTGTATGTGACACCCTCTTTCTCTGACCACAGAAGGAATCAATCAAGACATGACAGTTCCCTTGATCACAACCCCAAGCATCAGTCCACCCTCCTTTCTCGGGAGTAGGTGACTCATCTCCTGTTTTCTTGGTGTTTTTACAGCCAAATCACCTGTCTTGGGTTGCTTTTTGTTTCTTTGGTTTTTGGTTGTTTTTTTTTTTTTGGTTGGTTGGGTTTTTTTCTCTCGTTAAAAAAGTCCAACCAAAGCCACAGGGAAGTCCATGGCTCAAACATTATGGAGTTCTGTACTGTGGCAGAACATCTGTAGGACAGTGTCCCACCCTTTCAACTATCATTAAAAAAGGTTGTTCACCTGTTCTTCTAGCTAGCCTGAATTAAAAAAGCAGCTACAATATAAAGCACTCATACGGACTGGTAAAACTGTCCCCAATCCCAGCATGAGACCTTTTTTCCCACTTCAGAGCAGGAAAACACCATCCCCTCAAATTCCATAAAACCTTTATGTAAACAGATACTTTAAGCATAAACTCTGCTACCCTGAATAGCAAGAAGCAAGCCTGGAGCTGAAACTTCCCAAAGACTTGCCAGTGCTTTCAAAAAAGCTTCTATGCTTTAACAAACATGATTGACCCTTAAAAAAAGGCAGCACACAGAATTCTTATGAAACCGTTGAAGGTTCCCGATCCACAACCTCACACACTCTATGTATGTTATTCTACAATGTAGAATATTTACACATGCTGTAACACACCCTACTCAGGCACAAGCATTTCCAGAAATCCACTATGTGTTTGCCAACATTAAAACACTACAAATCCAGAATTTACAGGATTTCAGCAGTACGTTTTCTATCATTTCAGACTAAATTGCACTAAGATGGCTGGAGAAATGGAGAGCTGCTCTTCCTATATAGGACTGCTGGTGTCAAATGATATTTGGATTACTGTGGATGGAACCTGAAGCACTTCAGAGGAAGCCTAAGGAGCTGGAGGGCGAGTCTGAAATGGTAATTTTTCCCAAATCATATGCTAGTGATTTGCCTGAAGGGTCATCTTACCACTGCACAGCTTCATTAGGTTTCTTACTTCCCTTCTCTCAGCAAGACTGCACTTTATCCAGCCTTGGAGCTGACAGAGATGTACCAGTCCCTAATTACACACATACTGATTTTGAGCACCGCAGGAGTTCCGATGCCCTATTAATGCTTCCAAGGTGCCACCAATACTAAGATGGGTTTCAAGAAAGAACCAAAAAGAACCGTGATCATGATTTATCCTCACCTCCCACTGGAAAGATTGAAGCTCAAGCTACTATTTTTAAATTCTCTATCTATGGGTGTCTCACAGCACCTCGATATCCAGGTTAGAAGAGGGAAGTGACCTTAATACTGTGGAGACATCACAACGATCTAAATGTCCCCTAACACTGAGAATCTCCACCAACACTTGCAAGGCACTGGAACCGAGATCCTGTTTGTCACAGTGGGCAGTGCTGCTTCATGCTCGTAACAGCACAAACACTTCTAGATGGCAGCAGGAAGAAGCTGCTAAATGATCCACCATGGAGCAGTAACCCCCTCAACCCAATCACAGCAATGACAACATCTGCATCCAGCTGGTGGAGCTCAATTTCCAGGCTAAGCCTAAGAGAGAATTTCTGATTTTCCTCTAGAATCTTGGGAATTTCACTGCTTAGGTTCTGCTCAGTATTGCAGCTCACTGCCCACCTGCAAGCTATGGTGGGTTCTGGAAAGACTCAAAGGGCATCATCTAGGAACGTGGTTTTCTCCTTTAACAATCAGAACGGGATGCATTACCGTTGTTTAGTTATGTAAAGTTCTTCAAGTAAACGTTGCTCCTCATAGCTCATCCAACGGTCTTCAAGCTCCTCCTCCTCCTTCTGCAGCAACTGTTCGTAAAGCCTGACCGGGTTCCAGCCAGTCATGATGTCGTAGGTGATGACGCAGCCCAACGAGTGCGACACGATCGAGACTTTCCCTCCTTTCTCCTCAAACTCCGGGTTCCGCGAGCAGAAGAGTGTGTAGAGCCGGTTCAGCTCCTGCTGCAGCCCTTTCACCAGCTGTTTCAAGAAGGAAAGAAAGCTTAATATCAACATCTTATCACTCATGTTCATGTGTGGTCACATATTACACCGACCAGCTTCTTGAACATGTATGCAGAATGAGCACCATGGTCTGTTCACTTGGGCTGGGAAGATCAGAAAGAAAGTTTAATATCAACATCTTATGACTCATGTTCACGTGTGGTCACATATTACACTGACCAGCTTCTTGAGCATGTATGTGGAACGAGCATCATGGTCTGTTCACTTGGGCTGGGAAGATCATAGAATGGTTTGGGCTGAAAGGGACCTTAAAGACCATCCAGTTCCAAACCCCTGCCCTGGGCATGGACACCTCCCACCAAACCAGGTTGCTCCAAGCCCCCTCCAACCTGGCCTTGAACCCCTCCAGGGATGGGGCAGCCACAGCTTCTCTGGGCAACCTGGGCCAGGCTCTCACCACCCTCACAGTCAACAATTTCTTCCTGGGATCTCATCCAAATCTCCCCTCTTTCAGCTTAGAGAATCACAGAATATGCATGGTTGGAAGGGACCTTTGAGATCATCGAGTCCAACCACAAAAAGAACCAACACCAAAATAACGAACAATCCACACCCCAAACCAACACACCCACACTCCACACCCACCCGCAGACAGACAAAACCCAACAATCTCAGGCACTAGAGCATGCCCTGAAGTGCATTTTGTGGTGTACTGCAGCCAAAGGAGATCAGGGACTGAAGACTCCAGTCTCCCACATTGCACAGACCAAATTAATTAGTGGATCAAGCATTTATGGTGAATAGCAACTCATGATCAAACCAGAGCTCTGGTCTGCTGTGAAGAGCCAAGATGCAGGCAGTTGGTACCTACAAAGCCGTTAGTTCTCGTTCAACAAGCTGGAAATCCTGCCTTGGCAGAAGCACTTTGCCATCACGTTCATGGAAAGCCTCTCTCTCTCTCTCTGGAGCTTGGTACTCAAGCAATGGGAGTCACTAGTTTAAAGCTTCACAGAAACACAACATTTTCCTTTCATTATGGCTAAGAAAAAGGATGTGCTGCAATGGAAAATTACCTAGCAGTAATTTGGATTGATACAGCTCCTCTTTTCTTCCCCCTTTCTTTTCCCCTCCTTTCCTGCTCCCTCTAAAAACTATCTGCTCAAAAAAATCTTCAGTTTAAACACAACTGAGTGAAGAATAATCTTTCACAGAGGTGGAGGAGTATCAGCCAGACTCCAGCTTCCTTGATGGTAGAGATAATAGTGCGATACAAGCTTTTAAGCAGTGATGAAAAGGAGAAGGCTATGACAAATTGAATTATGGTTAGTTTCCTCTTTTTTATGGCTCAAGAGTGACCTTGGCTTCTAGAAGTCCTTCTGAACTCAGAAGGAAAAAAAAAAAAAGGGCAAGTTAAGAAACAATAATCTATTTTGTTCCCATCTATCATGTCACATTTTTATGGTTTAATATTTCAGGATATGGTCGAGCAACTAGAAAGTGTTGCACGTCCCAACAAAAGTGTTGCTAGAAAATGCCTTTTCCTAATAACAAGAAATTCTGGCAATTTGTACAGCTGATTAGCAAGCAATCTACTTCATGAGACTAAGAGTAAGTCATGCTAAATGTCAGACCAGAATAATTTGGAAGGAAAATCCACCGCTGGAGGAAATTCAAATCAGATTTGCTCAGAGATGTGACATGGTAGAAGTAGTCCCCAAGGAAAATGGATTAGTCAGCAAAGTAGAAGTGAAATTGTTTAAGATATGCGATTAATGTAATTTGCCAAACGGCTTTTACCTTCCCACACGGTTGTACGTGTGTGTGTTTTTGTAATGCATAGTAATCTATGAATACAGTAAAATGTTGACAAACATGTACACACACTTCATACATTAAGATTATTCTACTAACATCGTGTCTAGGGAAATGGGGGGAAAAAAAAAAATTAAGTAGAATAACCCATATTGCAGATGTATTTTTACAGCAAGTAGAATATTCAGTACAATCCTCTCGAACATACATACCTTAAATTTTAAGACAGGTGGTTTTGATATGGTGGATGCCTTTAACCCATGTAACCTCTCTTCTATCTCTCTCAACCTAGAAAATAGAGATCTTTCTGAGATCCAATAAAAAACGTAGCCTTAACCTCTCTGATCCAAACAGGCATTCCTGTGGGGTCCAAAAGTTTTGGCTGCTGGGAAGAGAGAGTGATGGTGTCAGTATTTCTCGGAGGTGTTCCAGGTGATTAAGCATCAGTGTATGTGACACCCTCTTTCTCTGACCACAGAAGGAATCAATCAAGACATGACAGTTCCCTTGATCACAACCCCAAGCATCAGTCCACCCTCCTTTCTCGGGAGTAGGTGACTCATCTCCTGTTTTCTTGGTGTTTTTACAGCCAAATCACCTGTCTTGGGTTGCTTTTTGTTTCTTTGGTTTTTGGTTGTTTTTTTTTTTTTGGTTGGTTGGGTTTTTTTCTCTCGTTAAAAAAGTCCAACCAAAGCCACAGGGAAGTCCATGGCTCAAACATTATGGAGTTCTGTACTGTGGCAGAACATCTGTAGGACAGTGTCCCACCCTTTCAACTATCATTAAAAAAGGTTGTTCACCTGTTCTTCTAGCTAGCCTGAATTAAAAAAGCAGCTACAATATAAAGCACTCATACGGACTGGTAAAACTGTCCCCAATCCCAGCATGAGACCTTTTTTCCCACTTCAGAGCAGGAAAACACCATCCCCTCAAATTCCATAAAACCTTTATGTAAACAGATACTTTAAGCATAAACTCTGCTACCCTGAATAGCAAGAAGCAAGCCTGGAGCTGAAACTTCCCAAAGACTTGCCAGTGCTTTCAAAAAAGCTTCTATGCTTTAACAAACATGATTGACCCTTAAAAAAAGGCAGCACACAGAATTCTTATGAAACCGTTGAAGGTTCCCGATCCACAACCTCACACACTCTATGTATGTTATTCTACAATGTAGAATATTTACACATGCTGTAACACACCCTACTCAGGCACAAGCATTTCCAGAAATCCACTATGTGTTTGCCAACATTAAAACACTACAAATCCAGAATTTACAGGATTTCAGCAGTACGTTTTCTATCATTTCAGACTAAATTGCACTAAGATGGCTGGAGAAATGGAGAGCTGCTCTTCCTATATAGGACTGCTGGTGTCAAATGATATTTGGATTACTGTGGATGGAACCTGAAGCACTTCAGAGGAAGCCTAAGGAGCTGGAGGGCGAGTCTGAAATGGTAATTTTTCCCAAATCATATGCTAGTGATTTGCCTGAAGGGTCATCTTACCACTGCACAGCTTCATTAGGTTTCTTACTTCCCTTCTCTCAGCAAGACTGCACTTTATCCAGCCTTGGAGCTGACAGAGATGTACCAGTCCCTAATTACACACATACTGATTTTGAGCACCGCAGGAGTTCCGATGCCCTATTAATGCTTCCAAGGTGCCACCAATACTAAGATGGGTTTCAAGAAAGAACCAAAAAGAACCGTGATCATGATTTATCCTCACCTCCCACTGGAAAGATTGAAGCTCAAGCTACTATTTTTAAATTCTCTATCTATGGGTGTCTCACAGCACCTCGATATCCAGGTTAGAAGAGGGAAGTGACCTTAATACTGTGGAGACATCACAACGATCTAAATGTCCCCTAACACTGAGAATCCCCACCAACACTTGCAAGGCACCGGAACTGAGATCCTGTTTGTCACAGTGGGCAGTGCTGCTTCATGCTCGTAACAGCACAAACACTTCTAGATGGCAGCAGGAAGAAGCTGCTAAATGATCCACCATGGAGCAGTAACCCCCTCAACCCAATCACAGCAATGACAACATCTGCATCCAGCTGGTGGAGCTCAATTTCCAGGCTAAGCCTAAGAGAGAATTTCTGATTTTCCTCTAGAATCTTGGGAATTTCACTGCTTAGGTTCTGCTCAGTATTGCAGCTCACTGCCCACTTGCAAGCTATGGTGGGTTCTGGAAAGACTCAAAGGGCATCATCTAGGAACGTGGTTTTCTCCTTTAACAATCAGAACGGGATGCATTACCGTTGTTTAGTTATGTAAAGTTCTTCAAGTAAACGTTGCTCCTCATAGCTCATCCAACGGTCTTCAAGCTCCTCCTCCTCCTTCTGCAGCAACTGTTCGTAAAGCCTGACCGGGTTCCAGCCAGTCATGATGTCGTAGGTGATGACGCAGCCCAACGAGTGCGACACAATCGAGACTTTCCCTCCTTTCTCCTCAAACTCCGGGTTCCGCGAGCAGAAGAGTGTGTAGAGCCGGTTCAGCTCCTGCTGCAGCCCTTTCACCAGCTGTTTCAAGAAGGAAAGAAAGCTTAATATCAACATCTTATCACTCATGTTCATGTGTGGTCACATATTACACCGACCAGCTTCTTGAACATGTATGCAGAATGAGCACCATGGTCTGTTCACTTGGGCTGGGAAGATCATAGAATGGTTTGGGCTGAAAGGGACCTTAAAGCCCATCCAGTTCCACCCCCCTGCCCTGGGCAGGGACACCTCCCACCACACCAGGTTGCTCCAAGCCCCCTCCAACCTGGCCTTGAACCCCTCCAGGGATGGGGCAGCCACAGCTTCTCTGGGCAACCTGGGCCAGGCTCTCACCACCCTCACCATCAACAATTTCTTCCTGGGATCTCATCTAAATCTCCCCTCTTTCAGTTTAGAGAATCACAGAATATGCATGGTTGGAAGGGACCTTTGAGATCATCGAGTCCAACCACAAAAAGAACCAACACCAAAACAACGAACAATCCACACCCCAAACCAACACACCCACACTCCACACCCACCCGCAGACAGACAAAACCCAACAATCTCAGGCACTAGAGCATGCCCTGAAGTGCCACGTCTACACGGTTCTTAAATACCTCCAGGGATGGTGACTCCACCACCTCCCTGGGGAGGCTGTTCCAGTGCCTGACCACCCTCACAGTAAAGTAATTCTTCCTAGTATCTAATCCAAACACCCCCTGCCACAACTTCGGACCATTTCCTCTGGTTCTGTCATTATTCACTTGAGAGAAGAGGCCAACACCCACCTTTCTACAACCTCCTTCCAGGTAGTTGTAGAGGGCAATGAGGTCCCCCTTCAGCCTCCTCTTCTCCAAACTAAACATGCCTAAACTAACTAAACAAGGGTTTAAAACCCTTCCCCCTCGTCCTATGGTCCCCTCCCTGATTCAGAGTCCCTCCCCATCTCTCCTGGAGTCTCCCCGGAGCCTTCTCTTCTCCAGGCTGAACCCCATGAATTTTCTCAGCCTGTCCTCCCAGCAGAGGGGCTGAATTTTCTCAGCTTGTCCTTCCAGCAGAGGGGCTCCAGCCTTCTGATGATGAGCAAAATGGTTTGGCTGACTCCAGTGGTTCATCTCTCCCCTCCAGATTCAGCAGCAACCACCACACAGGACTTATGGCGACCCTGCAACTGCTACACTACACCATCCATAGCATTGTATTAAAAGAAACCATTAAATAAATGACGGCTGTGCGTAAAGTACTTAACGGCATCCTCTGAGGTGAGCAACAGCAAGGAACTTTGTTTTCAGCAGTGATCCATTAGCACCACAGCAACTATTAATACAGCACTATGTCCATTATTGCTTGTTTCTCCCCCAACTTTTCTACCTTTTCACAGCACTGAACGTTTCAGCTCCTTTTTTAACCTAAGGAGGCTGGAAGGAGCCCAAGCCACCCATGATCTAGAATCAGCTCACATCTCTGCCACAAGCTCAGCATATAACCCTAGACAAGTCATATTCCCTCTTCTCCATTTATCAAGGTGAAACACCATCATTGCCTACCTCACTGCGGGGGATTGGGAAGATAAATCCACTAAATAGGTTGGAGGAACATATCCTCAAATTGCTTTTGGAGCTTCGGAAAGCACACTTGAACTCACCAAGTCTTTCATTATTCTGCCCACTGCTTGGCTCCAAGGAGATGCAGCTTTTCTGTCCTACTCCCCACTCCCACCACACTGCACCTATTTGAATTTTTTCTCAAGAAATCAAACCAAACCGGTGTCACTAAAGAGTAAAAAGCTTCATCTCAGGCAAAAGGAAGGTACAGGAGTTAAAAATGCACAAGTGAGACACGCCGAGCCAGAATTTGAACATTTGATATAAACAACGTTAAGAAAACAGTTTTCTGTTTATAGGTTTCTAGGAAAGTTTTTTTTGGGGAAAAACAGGAATTCAACATGTTTCTCAAGCATCATAGGCTAATGCTATTGTACTACTGCAATAAATATATATTGGTCCTATGTTAATTGAGCCTCTGGGAGGCTCATCTGCCTCAAACCCTGCACGAGGGTACACATGCATAAAAGTGTTCAGATTGACAGAAAGCATTTTTTAGAGAGAAACATTCAAAGACGTGAGATTTAGGAAGGAGATGATACCAAAGAAAGGCAGCTTTGCTTGTGAAACCCAGTGTGGCAACTGAGCGATGCTCCCGGGCTACGGCACGGAGGAGGACAAACCAGGAATTGCAAATCATTCCCTCGTTAGCAATAGGAAATTAACGCTCGACAACATGTAATTTGAGCATGATTTTTCAAGAGGCTGAATCATTACTGGATATAAATATGAATGGCACCGGGGCTGTCAGTGTTGGATACACATTTTAGCGAGCGAGGATCCACACAACAAACCCTGTGCCTAAAGCAGTGCGAAACGACGAGCAAAGCCTCGCAACAGCTTGGAGAAATAACTTATCATTTCCATTTTCCAAGTTTTTTTTTTTGACTGTGATGCTGCCTGTTCCTGCGCTGGGCTCTATCCAGACCTTGGGCACTACTTTCACGCATGAACAAACAGGCAGAGGTTTTAGCTGGAGCTGAAAAGAGAAATGAGGACCAGCTTTGGCTGACTGGCATCTTCTCCATTTAAAAAAAAAAAAAAAAAAAGTTTTGATTAAAACCCAGAACGAAATAGCAGAGATCTGCTGAAATCCAAGTGTTTTGGGATTCCTGCCAGGAGCTCTGAGAAATGAGGGAAGACCAATATCCAGCAGATTGCGTACCCTCCAAGGAGCCACCACACACCATCATGCTGTCAGGGACCTCGGCAGGGAGCCCGGGACCTCCAGCCCCACAGGAGATGCTCTGGATGGAAGGTTGGCTCCTGGTTTCAGAGTAAAAATGCCAAGGAAACTAATGCTGGACTCCTCATGGCTTCCAGCATCCCTCTCAGTACAGCAGGGAGATGAGTAATGCCATCTTGTATTAAAAAAAAAATAATCCTAAATAAGCTGTATGAACATATCTCAGTGTCCCCAAATCTTTTCTCTGGTGGCAAAAGTAAGATGCAGGACAAACTCAATGGCTTCCCTTGGTTTCTTGTTGCATAAAAGCTATTTTTCCCAATGCCCTGCCCAACTTGCTCAACAGCCCTGTACCCTACTCTCCTGTACCCTATTCCTGATTCCCTGGAAAAGCAGATATCTTCCAGGAAGAACAATATTATGTCAATCTCCCCCACAGCCCATAGGCACAGAGTGGGCAAGAAATCTCCTGGCATCACAGCATTTCATTACAAAGGTCCCATTCTCTTGCAATCCAGGGGCATACGACAGAATATTCTTGCAAAGTCCTAGTTGGACACCAAGTCCAACCCTGTTTTTAACTGTCATTCTCCTTAAAAACACACTGTTACTGGGAAGTTTGGCAAAAACATGGACAGCAACTAAAAAACTGTGTATGGATTTCCAAATCACTGGTCAAGTAACTTAATTGTAGAGCAGAAGGTCTGCTGTAGTAAAGCCTCCAGATTTCCAGGCACCACGAATGGTCTGGTTCACTGCTATGACAAAAACCAGGAGCAGCAAGCTCTTATAGAAGTGTTTATCTTGCCAACAGTTCTCTATCAGCACCAAGATTAGAAACTGAAACGTTTGGTATACAGTTAAAAAAAGAAAGAACAAAAAAAAGGAAAAGCATATTCATTTCAATTCCCAGCTAAAAAATTATTTGGTTAAGCAGTATCTGAAGTTTAGATAATGTTTAATTCTGATTTGCTTTCTTAGTCTTATAAAACATACAACAGTCTAAACTGTAAAAGAAAAGCTTGGTTAGAAAAAGGTTTTAGTCCAGCAAGTGTAACAAAGTGCATTCAAATCTTTTTTGTATTTACAGCTTGACATATATCCTAACACTCCATGTAAAAATACCTTCTAGAAACTTTACAGTCTTTATATTTGCTAAAATCAGTGACATTTTGCATTGATATTAAACATAAAAAAAATGTAACTACTTATGTCTCTCCTAAATTGCATCACTGTAATTAAAAGCAATGTTTTAAGAGCTGATTTATTTTTTTTCAATCCACAGCTTGGCTTTTTGCTCACTCAGAGCTCAGTGATGGCTTCTCCTGCTCTTACTGCACCTACATCCAGTGACTTCCCAATTAAGGGAGCCCTTTCCCCACTGGTTTCCCCAGTGCTTCTGCCAACCCCAAACCTCACTGCCTGCTGGTCTGTGATGGACTTAGGAAGCACCTGCTTTTTCTGCCTGAAAACAGGAAAGCAGGAACCACCCAGGGGAAAAAAAAAAAAGTTTAATAGTAGAATGCAACATGACCAGAGCTCGCTCTCTCATTCCATCTCCCCTCTTGCCTCTTCCCTCCCAGTTCACACCTTATTTTGGGGACCAGGTGGACTGGTGGGACTCTGGATCAGGGAGGGGAGCCATAGGATGAGAGGGAAGAGTTTGACACTGCAAGAGGGGAGATTTAGATGAGATCTCAGGAAGAAATTCTTTATGATGAGAATGGTGATACCCTGGCCCAGGTTGCCCAGAGAAGCTGTGGCTGCCCCACCCCTGGAGGGGTTCAAGGCCAGGCTGGATGGGGCTTGGAGCAACCTGGTCTGGTGGGAGGTGTCCCTGCCCAGGGCAGGGGGGGTGGGACTGGATGATCCTTAACATCCTTTCCAACCCAAACCATTCTGTGATTCAATGAAAAAGGCTAGAGTTTCCTTGAGTTGCTGCCTTACCCACTTTACCATCTCCTAAGGCCTCCTAAGGCTTCTCCCACAGACTAAATAAGCTCAAATATCTCACAGAAGAGTACATGTGGCAGCAGTCAATTGAGTAGATGTTTTATTTTTTTTCCTGTCCAGCTGCTCCCACGAACACTGCTCTGGCTGCAGATCTGCTGGCTGCTCCCTTGCCCTCACCAGTGAAACGCAGCACGCTTACGTGTCTCTTCCTGAACTGATCAAACCACTGTAACAAAGGGAACGCTTCCTATTTCTTCAAAAAAAATAGCCATATAAAATCCCTTCCCCCCATC